ATGCCACACCCCCTGATGTCACCGGAAGTGTGTCAGAAGGCAACACCCACCGCTCATGCTGCACTGGACTGTTTTGGATTGCTAGCTATTGGGGGGGGGACGTGCAAATTTGCCCTCACAGAGCAGGGAGAGCTTTTACCTGAATAAAACTTGGTCTTAAAGGTGCCACTGGACTGTTTTGGACCCGGGGGCCGGGGGGGGCTCTGCAATTTACCTGGTTGCTTCTTGCTCTGACTGAGGGCTGCTGGGAGCAGGGGGTGGGGCTTGTTGCAAGGGGCCGTCCCCTGGGCCCTTTACTGCCGGAGCTCCACTCCTGTGCGCTCCTGCAGGAAATGACCCCTGGTGAACACCAGCAGAAGGCAGAGTAGAGGACTTACATTGCCAAGTAGCGTCTAGTCAAGAGAGGGTCTGATGTCTGACCATGGGCCCTGTCGACTGTTCAGCCATGCAATGCTGGTGCCTTTTAGCAGTAGTTATAGCAAGGCTGTAGCCAGGAATTTTTCATTGGGGTGGGTGCCAGGGGGCGCCTGGGAGATAGAGGGTGGGGAGCTGGCTCCTCTCTGGCCCCACTGCTGAAGAGCACACAAGGAGGATCCTCCTCCTCCCTCCCCGCACAGGCCTGCCGTTCCTTCCGCAGCGAACCCCAGTAGGGGCGGGCTCAGCAGCTGCTCGGGCATCCTGGGCCCTGGGCCCAGTGCCTCCCAGAGCCAAAGCAACCCGCTGGTGGGTCTTGTGGTGTGTGGCTGTAGAGTGAGGGGGTGTAGCCCTGAAATGCCCCACTGTAGCCATGGGCCCAAGCTATAGGAAGCCTGAGCTCTCCCTAGAATAAGATGATCAAACTGAAGAATCTCCTGTCAGATAGAAACCACCAGACGACTCGACAGGCGGCTAAATTCTGTGCTCAGGTTTACAAGCATTGAAAATCCCTTTTGGCAGGATGACTTAGTAGCCGTTTGGCATGATTTTGTATGTTTTTAAGACTTAATTTTCTCTTTTTAAAAAATGTTCAACCCAACTGTATTGCTGGTCGCTGGCTTTTGCATTTCTCAGTCAAGCTGTACTGCTGGCCGCTGACTGTTGTAATAAAGTGATTGATTGGTTGGTTGATCAGACTGAGGCTATTGTGTACTTTGGTCACCTTATGAGAATCCAGGAGTCACTGGAAAAGACAACCATGCTAGGAAAAGTTGAGGGCAGCAGGAAAAGAGGAAGACCCAACCAGTGTTCCCTCTAAGCTGAGTGAGTGTGAGCTGGCTCACAGTTTTTTAGCCTCCCGCTCACACATTTTTGTCTTCGCTCAGGAAGGATATGGCTCCAGAGCAAACTAATTTATGCAGTCGCCAAATGGCTCGCTCACAACTTTAAGGCCAGCAGCTCACAAAGTGGAATTTTTGCTCACAAGACTCCACAGCTTAGAGGGAGCATTGGACCCGGCAGTCAAGGAAGCCTGCAGCCCTCCATTTGCAAGACCTGAGCAAGGCTCTGAACGATAGGATGCTTTGGGGGACATGGATCCATAGGGTCGCCATAGGGCAGAAGACAGAAGCAACTTGATGGCACTTAACTCACACACCTAAAGCATCTAAACAGGTTATGCTTGGACAAGTGTTGTTATAACTGAACACATGAAACTACCCTAGGCTGTATCAGACCATTGGTCTACCAAGGTCAGTACTGTCTACTCTGGCCCCGGTCACACGGGCCGGATATCGCGCGGGGGAGGCGTGGCTGTTTGCCCTGGGGCAAAATAACACGCTGTTGCGCAACCAGACGTCCCGTGGAGGTCCCGTGGAGGTCCCGTGGAGGTTCCGTGGAGGTCCCGTGGGTAGGGGGGAGGTGCCGATCACAGGACAATCCTGCAGCACGGGAAAGAAGCGGCGTGGTGCGGCAAACGGGGTTTTTTTTCTGTACACCGAAGTATGCGCATGCTCAGTTGGGTGCTTGTGCGCATCCATGGAGACTTGGGGGGAAAAAACCTTTTTGCAAGGGGACATGGGCGGGTGCCGGATGCCACCGGAAACGCGATCAGACGCCCGCCCTTGCCCCGCGGTTACCGGAAACTAGTACCTTGGAGGTACTAGTTTTTTACCCCGCATCTTCGGCAGGAAGCCTCAGGTGAGCCATGGGAGCTCTACGCTTCCCAGATGTGGCGCTGAGATCGTGCCCGGAAAATCTGCCTATCTTCTGTCTCTCTACCGTGGCTAATGTTCCGTGTGACCGCAGCCTCTGACTGGCAGGGTCTCAGGCAGAGGTCTACTGTGTCACCATGCTCCCTCTGATTTCCCTTTCCTACTGAGCAGAGCAGTTCACCTCCTGAGCCGACTATGACTGCTATAATCTTTAAATGGGCAACGGGTAGTGCAAGACCCTGCGTGGCTCCGGATTGCCGCCGAGCGAGGTTTCCTGTGTTAATGAGCGGCCCCTTGCATGTGCAGCTTAGAGGGAACACTGCCACATCACCTACTATCTGGTTAGGGTTGCCAGATATGGGTTGGAAAATACCTGGAGGCTTTGGGGGTGGATCCGGGAGAGGGCGGGGTTTGGGGAAGGGAGGGGCCTCAGCCTGGTACAATTCCATGGAGCCCACCCTTCAAAGCAGCCGTTTTCTCCAGAGGAGCTGATCTCTGTCAGCCGGATATCAGTTGTCAAAGCGGGAGATCTCCAGGCCTCACCTGGAGGCTGTGGAACTCCAAAAACAACATCCCGTGACAAAAATAACGAAGAGTCAATAAAGATAAGTTGCAAAAACGTTTACTGTAGTAATTTCTGTAGAAAATGTTCTTCTATTACCTCTCACACGCTAACGAATACTGCGCAATGAACAATTCATTTCACAATATTTGATTTATCTGAGCACATAGCAATCCCGATTCTTATCAATTACTACTTATCAACTCTTGAAGAAAACATTCCATGTTGACTGTCTAATAGCAGAACCCAAGGTCTTAGCAATGTTTTCTTCAAGAGTTGATAAGTAGTAATTGATAAGAATTGGGATTGCTACACGCTCAGATAAAAAAATATTGTGAAACGAATTGTTCATTGTGCAGTATTCGTTAGCGTGTGAGAGGTAATAGAAGAAAATTTTCTACAGAAATTACTACAGCAAATGTTTTTGCGACTTATGTTTATTGACTCTTCATTATTTTTGCCACGGTTGTTGTTTTTGGAATTCCTCTTCCTCCCGTGATCTCTCATTTTTGGCTCTCACCTGGAGGCTGGCAGCCCTATATCTGATACTTTCACCTGGAGATATCAGGGATTGAGCCTGGGTTCTTCTTGCTCTGCCACTGAGCCATAGGCTCCAAACTATTATTGGTCAGTGAAACCACCTTGTTGCCAGTACGGTAAAAGGTGGGCCACTGCTGGAAGTTGAAACTCGAAGTGTGGGGTGACCCAGCTGAGTGAAGCAGAAACCAGGGTTTATTTAAGGTAATTTCATCCAGGCAAGACAAAATGATAGAACCATGAAAAGTTACATGCCACTGAGTGTGATCCCTAGTTTGGCCCTCTGCTGGTGACCGTGAGGGTTGGTGGAAGCTCGACAGAGGAGTTGGAGAGCAGAGGAGATTTCCCCGTACTGGCCACAATGTCCATTTCCAAGCGCACGCCTTCCGTCCCCCGCCAAAACTTCACTCCCGGATTTCTGCTTTCTCAACCCTCCACCCTCCCCTTCAGTTCAGGGGGCTGGGAATTAAACTGTGCCCACTGTTGCTTGGAAGCTGATCTCTACAAAAGCCTGGAGCCAAGCAGAAGTCGAGGGGACCGGAGCATCCTCGATAGGTTCAGAGCCAGCGCTGGGTAGCAGGGACAGAAGAGACGGGCAGTCAGGATCTCTCTGGGACGCAGGAGGGGTATGGGAGGAGTCCTCTCTCAGCATCCGGAGCAAGCGATGTTGGCACAGATCTCACAGACTTCAGAGTCTCTGGCAATGGCCTCTGGAACCAAGAGAGACAAAAGAAGACCTTACAAACAGTCACGTCACTCAATGCAGTGGGGCCCCCGGCTGCCTTTGGAGGCAGGCTGGGCTTCCTCGACACCGCTTGCAAAATCAGTGCCACAGACACTCTCCCAGGAGTAACCCCATTGAGCAACACAGGATTGACCTCTGACTCGACTTGATTAGGATCAGTCTCTACATGATCCAAACTGAAGGAATATCTTGACGTAAGCAAGCATCGGAATCACTAACCCACTGATTCCCAAGGGTTCTCAAAGTAAGAGACATTCAGAGGTGGTTTGCCATTGCCTGACTCTGCATTGTGACCTGGTATCTCTTGGCTGGTCTCCCAAATACTGACCAGGGTCACCCTGCTTAGCTTCCAAGATCCAATGAGGTCGGGCTTGCCTGAGCTATTCAGGTCGGGGAAGCTCATTGGCATAGTGTATTCTTATCCAGCTCATGAATTTTTGATGCTCACATAATTCACAGGCCATCGAATTTACACTGACGCTTGGCCTTTGCGAGACAACAATTATCTGTGATGGAGAAGCGACAGATCTCCCATTAGTCTCTTTGAAGAGCCAGTTTGGTGCAGTGGTTAAGTGCGCGGACTCTAATCTGGGAGAACCGGGTTTGATTCCCCACTTCTCCACTTGCACCTGGCTGGATGACCTTGGGCAAGCCGTAGTTCTGATAAGAGCTGTCCTTGAAAAAGAGCCGTTTCTGTCAAGAGCTCTCTCAGCCCCACCTACCTCACAGGGTATCTGTTGTGGGGAAGGGAAGGGAAAGGAGTTTGTAAGCCACTCTGAGATGTCTTTGGGTAGTGAAGGGCGGGGTATAAATCCAATCTCCTCCTCCTCCTCTTCCTGGGAAGAGGGCAGCCCCACCCAGCAAGGAAAGGGGGCACCTACCTAATCGTGCCATCAGTGGTCGTGCTTTAGGCCTGGTGCAGATCACCTGGAACTCCTCGGGCAGCTTTGGGTTGTCACACACGCTAACGGCGCTGCGTGACCTTTGGGCGGGGAGCGCACTCGAAAAATCCTTGAGCTTCTTCACTGACTCCAAGGGGAATGAATAGTCTCCCACCTGTCGAGGAAAACACATACAAAAGATTAACCCTCAGATTCTAGCTTTGATAGGGAGGCACAGGAGATGGCTTAGGTCACAAGAAGTGGTTCTTTGTGCTGGAGTGGGTGACTCAGCATGCTGGGGTGTTGTGGGGAGCCACATCGCTCTATAGGTGTCGTCTCCATGAATAGGAGAGAAAGCCAGTTTGGTGCGGTGGTTAAGTGCGCGGACTCTAATCTGGGAGAACCGGGTTTGAGTCCCCACTCCTCCACTTGCACCTGCTGATGTGACCTTGGGTCAGTCACAAGCTCTGGCACAGCTGTCCTTGGAAAACAGCAGTTTGTGTCAGAGTTCTCTCAGCCCCACCCACCTCACAGGGTGTCTGTTGTGGGGAGGGGAAGGGAAAGGAGTTTGTAAGCCGCTCTGAGACTCCAAGTGAAGGGCGGGGTATAAATCCAATCTCTTCTTCTTCTTCTTCCCACCAGGAAAGGATGTTAAGCTGTATACCTATACGTCACCTGCAAGTTCTTTCTTCTTCTTCTTCTTCTTCTTCTGATGCCTCTCTTTGTCTTAACTGGGACTGCCTTCTGATCTCTCCCTTTGTCCTCTCTCTTCCCTCACATGGCCTTCCATGGAAACCCATGTCTCTGCAGGTCTCTCCTGCAGGTACAACGCACTCATACTCCCACACACATGATGCGGGCCAAGCTGGCCATTTGTGATAGGGAAAGTACTCTCTAGATTAAGCTTCCCCCCCCCTCTTTTAACTGCAACCTGAACGTGAGCGAAATCTACTTGAATAAAAGTAAGGCTGCCATCACACGCTCCTTTAGATCTGACATAGGTGCGAATGCCTGGCGGATCTAAAGGGAGCGATCAGACAGCAACAGCTGGGAAGCGTCCCACAGTTGTGGGCAACCCGTGCTGCTCCGTCACGGAAGCGGAGTTAAAAGATACCAGGGAAAGTCTGGTGTTATCCAGATAAGGCAGGCCATGGGCGGACTTTCCCCTGTCTGACCAAGCAAGGAGGCTCTCGTGCCATTGGGATCGTGTGATCAGGCCATCTGGACTCAGTGCCACCCCCCCCTTGCAGTGTACGCATCATCGCATACTCCATAGGGGTCCCTCAGTGCGGAGGTGAAAATGTCGAGACAGTGTGTGACTGCAATAAAAAAGGCCAATGCTATGCTGGGGATTATTAGGAAGGGTATTGAAAACAGATCAGCCAATATCATAATGCCCCTCTATAAATCAATGGTGCAACCTCATTTGGAATACTGTGTGCAGTTCTGGTCACCACACCTTAAAAAGGATATTATAGCTTTGGGAAAAGTGCAGAAAAAGGCAACTCGAATGATAAAAGGGTTGGAACACTTTCCCTATGAGGAAAAGTTAAAGCGCTTAGGGCTCTTTAGTTTGGAGAAACGACGACTGAAGGGAGACATGATTGAGGTTTATAAGATTATGCATGGGATAGAGCAGGTAGAGAAAGAGGTACTTTTCCCCCTTTCTCACAATACAAGAACTCGTGGGCACTCCACTAAATTGCTGAGCTGTCGGGTTGGAACGGATAAAAGGAAGTCCTTCTTCACCCAAAGAGTGATTAACACATGGAATTCACTGCCACAGAAAGTGGTGGTGGCTACAAGCATGGACGGCTTCAAAAGGGAATTAGATAAGCATATGGAGCAGAGGTCCATCAGTGGCTATTAGCCACAAGGTATAGCTAGGGGCTCTGGGGCAAGGGATGCTCTGTCTTCTTGGGGCTTGGGGGGGGGGGTCAACAGTGGGAGGGCTTCTAATGTCCTGGCCCCACTGCTGGACCTCCTGATGGCACTGGTATTTCTGGCCACTGTGTGACACAGAGTGTTGGACTGGATGGGCCTTTGGCCTGATCCAACATTGGCGTCTCTTATGTTCTTATGTTCTTAAACCACTAGGCCATTCAGGTTTGACCCAGAGCATATCACTGATGAATATACAGTGGAGGTGAACAATAGGTTTGACTAGATTTGATAGACAGAGTGCCTGAAGAAGTATGGATGGAGGTTTATGACATTGTACAGGAGGCAGCAATCA